GCGGCTAGATGTCCTCTATCGATTGATGTATGGGACCTCTTGCTTGCGACGTCTGTGTCAGGATCTATCTTGATCCCCGTGCGTTGACTTCTGCTCGATGTGATGAGACGTATGAAAATCACGAAATCTCGCGCGATGACGTAATCGACTTCAACTCGCTGGATAAGAGGACTTCCGCGATGGTGACAATAGTAAATCCGTGTGGAATCTTCTTCTTGATCTACCGATACTCTTGGATCAACGTAGTTCCGGCCGGAAACTGTTCGATCGATCGGTGACTTCCGAATGGGATTGAAGATGGGAATTCCCGCGCACGCACCTCTTTCCTGTTATAGGCTTTTCGATGCTCTGATAGTGTGGCTAGAGGCTGATTCTGCGCACCTCTGCTCTGTTGCAGTAGTTAACTCAATACACTTCAAGTCAATTCAACTTGATGTTTACCTTGATATCGATCTCGAGATCGGTAGTAGCTCGAGATGGCCTTTTGCTTTTCAGTGTTGTTTGCTAGTAATACTGCAGCTTATTGGGGAGTAATTTGGTTTTAGATTAAGCTGAAAAGCAAAAGTGAGGATTTTCTGGTGGTGCATAGCAATTCTTGTGATTGAATTGGATATAAGGACCCCCGTAACACTTTAGACCTAAAACTCCCTTGGTTCCTTGCATGATCAATTTGCATGCGAACCGGACTAGATGATTAATACACGAGTCAATAGTAAAGAGGTGTCAGGTATGTTTCCTCCAACAGTCACGGGGGTGCACACAAACACTATAGAGGGAACATGGAATGGAATGAAGAGGAACGTTCCGGAACGCTGTAGAACAAAGAAACAGCTTCAAGGCTGTTTATTCGAATTCATCTGGAGAAGAGACCACGAATGCGACTTGTGGGCTTCTTTAATGAAAGCACTATCTAGTGTAGTGTACGAAGATTAAGCCTCCCTATAGTACTGAAAACTTTATAGTGGACTTTTCAGCCAACACGTGAATGTAGAATTGTACTGGTACAAACACAGTCGACATAGTTCGACATTCCCCCTAGTTAAATGCCGCATATAATGGACCGGTGGGGCCAATCATTTTACGGTCTGGGTGATTTGGCAGGTTTGTATAAGGGAGCGAATTGTAGCCGGACTGGCCTTCTAATTACCGAAATCCCTAATCTAAGTACCATCTAATTGGATTGTTCCTGCTGGATATAATTATGTTCTGGAAATCCCGAAGAGCGATCCAGAAAATGGTTGGGGATACGCTAATAGGAGAGATCCCGACGTACAGTACATAGCACATAGATCCTGACATACTAGAAACTAGAATTACACGTGTACTAGTACAGTAATATCTTTGGGTACTGATGTACTGATTACTGATCCGTCAATTTACGACTCAATATTAACTCTTCGGATTCAGAGATTTAACGACACATCTGCAGAATTCCTCTTCCAGTTCTTGGATCTTCACTCGAAAACCGCACTGCGACAACGGCAAAACTCGTCGTGTCGATCGTGTCATCCCCTCGATCCCTTCGTCTGAACGTCTGAACATTGATCCATCTCCCTGTCCATGGCAGCTTGACAGCTCGAGAAAGAGCAGAGAGATCGGTCAAGGAAGAAACCTAACTACGACAGCAGACGGTAGTCCAGCGAAAACTAAAACCACGAGACAATGATCACGGCAAATCAATTCTTTCAGGACACCAATGCTGTGGGACAAGAAGAAGAACACCCATCACGAACCACCGATCGATTCTCTCGTTGGAGACGCATTTCCAATGCTTCGTGGCGCTTGGAACGGCTCGCCAATGCACCCGTGTCGACACATCCTCCCCAGGCTGTGCTGGATTCCATGAACCGTTTGTTGACACATCATTCCGTGGGGACGGCACAACACGATCACGTGCATCAAGATCAATTCGTGTTGGACATGGAAGCCTTTCTGAACGCCAAGCAGAATACTGCTGCTTCCATTCACCAAGATCGCCAAGGCGTGGTGGTGTCGTCGCCGCTGCGTTTGAGTACCAAAACCATTTCCAAAGGACTCTTGACCGTGTCAAATAGCACCAATGATGATCCATTCTGCATGGTTGCCATGGCTCCCAATAACAACATCAGCAGCAGCAGTGGCGTCGTGATGGAATTTGCCTCCTATGCCAAAAAAATAAAACACAATTTACAGTCATATATTCCAGTGGGATACGAAGAATTTGAAGCTTTGCAGCAACAAAAGCAATCGGACGGCGACAATGAACATTCATCTTCCACGCTCTACTACATTATGGAAATCAAAGCCAGGGGAGAAACTGAAGGAGAAATGATTTTGGGTGCTGGGACTACCCTGGAAGATGTCTATCTCATCCTCGGCGATGACAGCAGCAGCAATGGAAGTTTTGGCAATCCACAGGATCAATCCACGGCATCTGTAGGGGTCAAAGCCAAGGTCATCTCGTCCCAACGTTGGGTCCAAATGTTAAGAGACGACCCCCGTGATGACAACGAGGAGGACCTCACCTGGGTGTTTCGAGAATTGGAAGACATGCCTCCCATGTCATTGCCACAACCTGTTGGGGCTAATTCTTGTCAGGGCGATAATAATGGCAGTGACAAATCCTCTCTGCTGTTGGTGGTTTCTTTGGACGAAAAAAGCATGAATCAGTTGAACAGCTACTCTCAATCATCAGCAGACGAGAATGCTGAAAAGACGATAACCCGAGGCAACTTGGTGCTCAAGTTCCGCCGCACCGCTTTGATTCGATACAGCCCCATGGAATCACAACTTTCTACGGCTCACTTTGCCATTGCCAGAAGCGTCCAAATGGTCCAGTATCCATCCACCGAACAAGACAAGGTCCGGAAAGCACTCGAGGGAGCACTGTGGAATGCCGAACGATTCATCCCCGAACAAAAACGCCAACAATGGGACGGATTCCCCGACGTGATTATATGTGTTGTGCCTCATCCGGCACTTCCGTTCATCCTATCACGATGGTTGCAAAACCCTCTGAGTCGCAAGTCCAATTTCGATTTGGCGCCTTGTAATCTGCTCATGCGGCTCCCATACTGGCAACGATACAGTCCAAGAGATTGTCCCTATATAGATCTAAGATGGCATTTCAATGAACACGTTTGGATGGATTTGGCGTCGGCCCGAGCGGACCTGGAACAAAATGTCAAGGCCGTCAAAAAGAGCTCTATTTATCATCAAAGCCAGCGAACGTCGGACGCTATTGAATTTGATGCCAAAGGATTGCAGCAGCTCTGTTGTGATGTGGAAGAAGCAGGCTCGTTCTTGTCACGGCATGAGCTTTTGCGGCAGGGCTATGTTCGAAGAATGCTCGCGGCTCTGGACATTGAACGATTGCACTGTTTTGAGGACATTAAAAAGCACGATCTGTACAGTGTCCACTGGAAGGGACACACAGTGGAGATTCCGCCTCCTATGACTGTGTCAAAGTTTTGCCCAAAGTGCAACCCTTCGGGCAACTTCCGAGGGCCAAACGGTCTCAATTGCATGTATCACATGGCCTCTGTGTTTTACGAGGACGAATTCGGCAAAAGTCCCCCACCCGGAAAGCCGATCGCCATTCGATCGAAATCGCAAATCGAGAGACTGCCGCGGCTTTTGGCAATGTTCCCTGGTAAGCGGAGATGAGATATCATTGCTGAATCACTTGTGTGCAGTGTTTGTGCGTTGACTTACACCAATACCCCTCTTTTGTCCTTGCCTTCTGCTAGGGGAAAGTCTGATTGTCAAGATAACCGTTCCAGGCGTCGCGGAGGATTTCCCCTTGATATCCATTGGAGACCTTGTGCGTCTGTACTTCCGAAGCCCTGGAGATGAGTTGAAGACGGAGATAATAGGCGAAGTAGCGGACGTGGTGGTGAAGAGTGAGGAGGTCACAATCCGACTGCCCTCCCCCTACCAACGAAATTCTGCCATAACAATGGGGTGCTTCCCCTACCTTCAAGCGATCTTACACACGAAAGATTATGTGGTGGATGCACGCGCCATTTTGCAGTCAGGCCTGCCGATGTCCATCGATGCCATTCCAATCACAGACCAGAACCGCAAAGAGCTGTTAGATCGTCTCAGGTTTGATGTCAGGTTTGGTTTTCAAGGATTCCGTGGGTTTCATATCATCCAACAAACTCTTCGCACATTCTTCTATACGCCGGACGTTGACCAATTCATTCAGGTTGGGATGCGCAAGGACAAGAAAAAGGTGGCACTCAATAGAGTCAAGGCAGAAAATGTGGAACACTGGTGTAGAGTCCTTACACCCACCAAGGCAAATGATGATCATATTGTGCCCGTTAGCGACCTGAAGCTACCGAGCAACCCTGAAGCCCCTCCGCCACTGAAGTTTGTCACGTCCGTGAATCCAGAGCAGCAGCGCGCCGTGACTAATATTGCGTATCGCAACCACGGCCATGCTCCGTACATTCTCCAAGGTCCGGCTGGAACTGGGAAGAGCATGTGTGTTTGCGAAGGAATTCTGCAGGTCCTCCGTGTTTTCCCCGGCGCAAAGATACTTGTGTGTGCCCCATCGGACGCTGCTTGTGATGTTTTAGCAAGTCGACTCATTGCTCTCAAGCACCCTAAATCCATCTTGAGAATCAACTGGTGGTCTCGCAAGGTTGCATCCGTCAAGCCAGAGCTTCTGCCTTCGTGTCCCGTTGATGTCTTATCGGGTGTTTTCACTGTGCCAAGTCTCGAGCACCTGCAACGAGTGGATGTTGTCGTATGCCAGTGCTTCGTAGCAGAGTGCCTGGATCTAGTAGGACAGCGAGGATGGACCAGAAGTCACTTCACCCATTTGTTTATCGATGAGACATCCCAAGCCATGGAGTGCGAGGCATTAGTCCCAATTTCCAAGGTAAGCATAGGTGAAATGGAGGGTTTCTGTTGGATGATTCTGTGCTTGTACCTCAACGAAAACAACTATTCGTCTTCATGCATTCTTTAACGTGCATTCGATTCAGGTGGGACCACGTTGCTCAATCGTTTTGGCTGGCGACCCGAAGCAACTGGGTCCCACAATCAGAAACCCTGTTGCAGCTTCCATGGGGCTAGGAATGTCGATATTGGAACGTTTGTCCAAGCTGCCCCTCTATGCATCCAAGCGCTACTGTGTCAACACTCAGCTTGTGCGAAATTATCGGTCGAACGACGCCCTTTTGACGGTCCCGTCAAGTCTCTTCTATGGTGGTTCCCTTAAGTGCTATGCTCCAAAGGCTGTCACGGATCCTTTTGAAAACTGGGGGGACCTTGGCGCTGCCCGATTCCCCTTGCTTCTCTGCAATGTTTCGAATGGAAAAGAGCGCAGCAAGATTGACACACCTTCATTCTAGTAAGTTTGTTTTTGAGAGCAGCTCGGTCAAGAGTTCGTGATTCGATTCGATTCCTACAGTCCTCTCTCACCAATGCTATGCAACTCAACTGTGAATCAATTGTTGCCTGCTCCTCCCACAGCAACTTGGAAGAGTGTCATGCCATCATTGCACTGGCCAAGGGTCTGCTTCGTTGCAAGTGCAAGGAGGGCGTGGAGCAACTTCATACTGGCCAGATTTGCGTGATTACACCCTTCCGCGCTCAGGTAAGTCCAAATTGCGTGTTACGCCCATCACAATGCAGTCATATATTATCACGCCGCTCATACAAGGCTTTTGCTCATTCCAGGTTTTGGCTATGCGTTTGCTTCTGCGTAATGCCAACATTGGAGGTGTTTCTGTTGGCGTCGTTGAAGATTTTCAGGGCCAGGAGGCGAAGGTCGTCTTCATTAGCACCGTTTTGACGAGGGATCATCAGCGATGGAATAGATCGGCGGTCTCTTCTGATGGGGATAAGGATGGCGAAGTGAGAGGACAACAACGTTTCGGTTTTCTCCATGACCCGAAACGCTTCAATGTTGCCATAACTCGAGCCCATGCTCTCTGTATTGTGGTGGGCAATGCAAACTATTTGGAGCAAAGTGGTACATACTGGTCGGCCCTCATGGATCATATCAAGAGAAATGATGGTGTGCTTGGTGCTGGAGGCACTTCGAACTCAGGGGATGCAGATCCTGAATCCAACGACGACGATCAGGACGATGATGCTTATGGCGTAGATGATTTGCTTCGACGAGTGGAAGAGCTGAGACTTTTGGGCTGTGGTGTGGAAGAGGATATTCATGATCTTTCCCATTACTATTCTGATATCCCACAGTGGAAGGTCATGCTGTCCTAATTGGGGTCTTTTTATAACATATTTTAGTCCATCATGAAAGGCTTGTTATTGGGGTGCTACCGGGACTACTGGTAGCTCTATGGGGAGCCGTCTATTAATATTAAAAGTCGTCCAGCAGAATGTGCGGTCTGTGGCTTTCATTGTGTTCGGTGACTGCCAATGTGGAGTCAGGCAGGACGAGCCATTGGTGGCTACATCGCTTCCGTATGTGACACGAGGGCAAGTTGCATTCCAACAACCTTCTATCTATGGTAGTTAGCTACAGCACACAACGAGAGACTGTGAACAAACAGCTGAACAAACGCAAGTTCTAATTTATATATGTAGAAGACAAACTAATGACATTGGGACAAGATTATTCCGAGATGACGCGGTGTTTTGGCATTGCGGCTACCGTCTTCAGACAATAGAGGTTTGGTTCCTGGCATCAGCAAGCAACCAAAACCTTCAAAAGTGAGTGGAACAAATGGGCTTGTTCCGAGAATCGGAGAATCTTTGAAGCATCCTGTATGTCTTGCTATTGTGGCGTCCTCGAAGTCCACCTCTGCGGGCCATTCTAACCTTTCCCGACCTGTGTGGGTGCTCGTGGAGAACGCAATGGCATGCATAGCTGATACGTATGCAGGCAAGTCCTTTCTTCGACGACCTGATTTCTAACTGAGTGCGAACCAAAAGTCTTCCTCTTCTCCAAATGCATTGTCCCAAGACGTCGGGGACATGTTGGCGTTTTCGCGCAAGTTCCAATCATTGTTGGCTTCGTCGTTGCGTGGCTCCGATGAGACGGTGTCAATGGGCGGAATCGACGCAGCGTTCAAGCCGCTCCACTGGTCGATGCAATCCGAATCCGCGGAAAGGGTGGGCGCCGATCCGTACGGGATCACAACAGAGAAGACTGGGGAAAAGTTGGTGGCGGGAGAGGGAGAGCCTGTGACCACGGTACTTGAGGGTCCGATGGGGGTTGGCTGAAGGAGGCCAGTGAGAAAGCCCCCAAGTGGTGCCTGCAATGGCTGCGGCGAAGGCATCGGCGGCGCAGTTGTTGCTGCCATCGCAGGAGGAGCCGCGGCAGAGGACGCCATCGCTCCAGGAAGAAGATGCTTGAGAGTGGGCACCGCAGCTACTTGCTTCTGAGGAGGGGCCAACTTGGGCACTCCCGACTTGATGAGCGGAGGGAGAGCCATTTGTGGCACACATCGAACTTGGACCGGGAAGGCTGGAGCCGGTGCTTGCCTGACCGCAGCAGCAGAGAGCGGAAGATACGGCATCGCAAAAAAGTTCGGTTCGTTCTCGGGAGCATCTGCAGGCATGCGAATACTTGTATTGTTAGTTTTTGCGGAAACGACGTTGCCATTTCAATGTTATCAACACCTCACACATACCTGGCTTTCGGGGGCCCGTTCCCTTGCGTTTGATTCTCTGGATGAAACAAGCAAATTCCGGCTTGCCTCGGAGGAAGAGCTCATGGTAGTAACCTTTGAAGAGAGGGCAAGCAAGCTTGAGTTACAAATGGGAAGGCCAACATGGCCAGGGGCTGCCCTTACATACCTCCTCTGTCTTGGGCCGACGAGAGCCTCTTGAAGCCGTACAAATTCAATTGCCTTTGGAAAGAGGCAAAGTTACTCTGCAGAAAGTAGCTATAAGAAAAGAGAGGAGGCAAGCATAGTCGTGTAAGAAAGGACAGCAGGCTCATCTTCGTAGGTACTCCTTTCTTGTGCAAAGCTAAACACTTACGAAGGGAGAATCCTTTCCACGAAAGCTTTGCGGTCACGCACCACAAAGCATCTTTGGGTTTTATTTGAGAACACAACAGAGAAGAACTTTGTGGTTAGCCAACAACAGCAAAAGCAACAACAAAGAGGTAAACGTTGCGCATCCGATGCACGCGTTCTCACCTTCCATGAGGCTGCCAGGAGACAATCCCCGACTCTCCGAAGGCCTCCACATCACTGAGCATATGGTGGAGCTTGACCGCAAATCCTTGCTGCTGCGTCCCCGACGCCATTGGATTCTGTTGCCTCACCACGCCCCCGTTCGTCGCGGTGGGAAACCAGAGACCCACATCTGCGGCACTCGCGTTGGCCCAGTCTCGATAGTGGTGTTGCACACCGGGTCTCTTGGGGACCTCTTTGCCCTTGCTCGTCATGGTGATCCGATTTCCAGTCTACTAGTACTAGCTAGAGGTACAATCTGTGGACTGCTCGCTTTGTTTCCTCCGCAAGTGCTTTATTATGCCAAACGCAACCACCTTCCGCAAAAGCTTTGAAGAAGTTGAATGAAACGAGAATACCACAGAATCGATGCTCAAGTAATGGTCGAACTCACCTCTGTGTGTAGAATTGCTACCACGGGCTACTGGGCCAAAGCGCCAGTAAAATATTAGACATCGTTCGCGTCGGGATAGGCTAGCTGGCTGTAGCGACCAGTACTTTTAGACTTCTGAAGAAGTTAAGTGTGAAGTAGTGCACTTTCTTTTACAACAGCGCAGAATGAGATGTATTTGGGACATTCTTCTTACATGATGCTGGCCAGCTAGATACCTTGCGCAGAATGAGACATTCCAGAAATCAATCCGAATCATCACTCGAACTTCAAGAAGAAGTGGGCACTAGTTAGCACCGTCCGGAAGTATGACTTGATTTGATTTTAACTAGTTTTCATTGATGTAAAATTGCAACTGATTGCTTGGCAAAACGTGAATCTATTTTGAAACTGTTGCGATTTTGGTGGATTTCACAAATCGTGAAACTAGTTTCACTTCTTGAGAAATCTAGTTTCACGAAAGTGTGAAACTAAAACGTGAAATTTAAAGTCTAGTATTACGACTATTGAATATGGCTCATTTCCGGACAATGTATTGTAGTTCTTGGTCGCCTCTTTCCCATCGAAATGAATGAAGCAATGAGGAAGGTGGGGTTTTGCTCAGTGCAAACTACCGTGTTTTTGAAATCATCTGGGGTTGAATGGACCCAACCCCCAACCCAAAATGCCATTCGAGTTTCCGACCAGCACATGGCGGATAGACGATGAGTTACAGTATGCAACCAATGGATGAGTCGAGTCGAAACTGGGTGTGAAGTAAGTACCGTACTGGTACCGTGTGGTGTTGGAGGCAGCGAAATTGCCCACTATCGACGAAGCTTCACTTGCCTTTCTGCGGGTAAAGTTACTTTGTGGGCATTTTGCGTGTTGAACATCATTCAGTTCCCACTGCAGAAATAAATCACCCAAGTCAACCTCGCAGTTGGGAATTGGATTGCTTTGAAGGTCTTTGGTTTTCTCAAAACCACCGTAGAAATTGATCTCCAACCCCCCAAAAGAAAAAAGAAGGGCGATCAAGTAACGTCGACAGTCACAGTTCAGGGTCAAAGAAAGGAACTTCAGAATCTAACCTTACCGCGTTACGGAGGTAGAAGTGTACTAGTAGTAGTACTGCTGGCTAGACTACATAGTACATCACATTGAACATAATTGACCACTGACTTTACCCCAACCCCCGAAGATCTAAAAGGCAAAACCAAAAGAAAGCGGTGATCATGAAACGTCGACAATAACAGCTCTCAGGGAAAAGGAAAGGAATTTCGAATTTTGGTTTCCTACGCTGTCGGTTCTACTACCACCACCTGGTCCCAGCGGTACTGGTAGAGTGCTAGCTATGGATTATAGAGTAAAGTAGCTTACACCGGTACAGTACACATATAACAACTTTTGAAATCACGGAGGATTGAGGAATTAAAAGGATCCCGCTTATATGTGTTTTAATTCCTGCATAAAATGGTTGTCAGAGCTAATAAAATCAAATGCAAGTGTCACATACATGAACTCGTGCAAATAATGAGGAAAAGAAGGCATAAAGACTCAGAAAGAAAGCTCAAAAGAAGAGGTGATCCTAAAAGATCTTGTGATCTTCTACCTAATATTCTGTGGAAATGACAAATCTAATTTCGTCAAGCAATTCAACAATTTGACACGATTCCGTAACAGTCTTAAAGAGCCTTCCAGTAACTTTCCCTCTGAGTCACCTCTAGTTAAAGAGCAGCTTCCCAGCCAACATTTTCGCCTAAATCGAGCTGTTCTCGGGAATAGTAAAGCAGAGACATAGAGGTACATGTACCATACCGGATACCGGTAGTACAAGGAGTACTCCGGTACCATACCAGTATTCTGGTTGGTACTAGCTATTAATAGTACCGTACTCCGAGTCATCAAGTACCCCCGCCCCCCGTCCTTCAAGACGTTTTGCCAGTGTTTCGACAATCGACGTCATTCGATTGATGATGGATAGATAGATACAGTAATACAGTAGATGATGAGCTGCTGACTGCTGATGATGGATGATAACAAAGAGCCAAGACTCCCATGTCCAATGGCGAAGTTGCCAAAATGCCAACATGTTCCTCCAACTGTCGAAGGACTGATCCGCGTCTCTGCTGATTGCTGATGCTTCTTCTGCTCTGGCGACACGCCCTTTGTAGTTCCAGTGGTCAAGGCAATAACCCGCTCACCAGGTCATGTATTGCATGTAACGGTAAGAGTAACGGGTACAAGTATCGCGCTAAGACTCTGAGGTCTGGGGTTGGTAGCTATTAGCTTCTGCCCTTCTAGCTAGTAGACTACTACCGGGAATTGAGGCAAAGATTTGCTTCTGCCCTTCTGCTACCAGGAATTGAGGCAAAGATGCGAGCCACGAGCGAAAGTGGCAAAGTGCCCAAACAAGTCCAAGCGCAGTCTGCTGATGATGCGCCCTGGGGACTTCGCAGTCCCGGCGCTTAGCCAGTTTTCCGGGACACTCATCCCAGTTGTAATAACCGAAAGAGTAACGGGTAGCTATATTTCGAGTATTAATATCTACTCTGAGACTGGTTCTGACAGCTGTTCTGACACTGTTGTAGTCAAATGAGTAACGTAGGCAAGAAGCATTCTTTTACATTTCTTACTATCCCACCAATTGTCATGATCTGCAAGGGTTCATCGAGTCGAGTGTGATATTTCCGCGCTTGAGAACTGAGCAGCAGCCAGGTTTGAGGACGGGGGGATCATTCTTCTCTACCGATACCATGTACTAGCTAGTACCACCTACCAGAAGTTGTGGGTCTATTGCAGAGGAGCAGAGGAGATATTGAGCCCTGTCTGTTGGGTGAAGCTAAAGGATGAACACGATCGTGGAATGTTCGAGGAGTTGCCCCAGAACAAATCCAGTGATGTTCTGTGCGCAGTGTTGTGAGTTAGTTGTGCATTGCGCAATTACCGGCGTACCGGTACATTAGGGAGATTTCGAAGTGTGATAAGCACGCGCGCAGTTCAACCCACACAAGGGGGAAATAGAATCATTGGGCCATGTATTGTCCAACCTTCCCAAAGCCGGTGGCAAGTTAACCAACCAAATAGACGCAACAGCTGCAGGCTTCTAAACTTCTAAGGCTTGATAATCTATTTTGAAGTACTGGTACAGCGTAGACTATTTTTTAAAATAGACTCTTGCCAAACCCGCCCCACAGCAGCCATTCAAAATAGAGCAAGTATGAATTCTACATCATTTTACGTTGTTTTATAATATCTGGACGACGATCCTCGACGAATAGTCTATACAAATTGCCCGCCCGCCCGTTCTATAAAAGATGTCTTTTTGCGTAGTTGCCCATTCTGCATTGCATCTCTTGGATTTCCTAGTATGCCAATTCGCTGTCTCCTTGTCATCTAGAAATACCTCCCCAATTCGGAACAAACCGACACAGCATCACCGCGTTTGGGCATGACAGAATTGGTACGATGGTATTTCAGGAGCTTGGCACTACCGTCATCGCCACATGACACGAGTCGGGTTGTAGTTCCGCAGCCCCTTTCATAGTCTTCTGATTGCTTTGTATCTTCGTCACCTTGCGGTTTCTTGATTTCTATCTTCTTTTTGGTGGACGCATTGGAAATACTGAACATCACAGATGCCTTGTCGTTGCTACTACGCTTCAGCAACGCCTGTGTTTTCATTATGGACAATATCTCGGCAGACATTGATTTTTCAAGTGACGGCAGAGACATCGAGTTGCGCGCACTTTCTGACCTGGACATTTCTGTTGTCCTGGAGTCCAGATTAGTATATTCCATACTGAATCCTACCGATCCTTCTTTATTGGGGGAACTAGCCATTGTGTCAGTCATTTCATATGTGGATATTCCCATTTCTGCGTCGGCTGTGTCGCCGCCATCATCACAGCTGACATAGTCGTCATCGTTGTCGTCTTCTTCCTCCTCATCTTCTTCATCGTCTTCCTCCCGGTATGATAAGGAATCTACCAACGCCCCCAGTGACTGAGGTGCCTTCTTTCGCATACAACTACTCCTTTCGCTGTTAGCACTGAGAGGCTCCATAGACAATGCCATGGTATCAATCAAGTAATCTAGTTCTTCGTATCCTTCAGGAGGAACGTTCTGTAGGTCGAGATGACTGATTCCACTGACAACAGACGAACTTTCTTCTGACTCTGAAGGCGCTGACCGAACACATGGCACTCGGTCTGTGACGAGTGGCTGATGATTCGTCGTCGCACTTCTACCAGCGTACAACTTAGCCCTCTGCAAGTCGTCGTACAGTGCAGCAGGATAATGGTGCGATGGAAGGAGACTAGTATGAGTGGAGAGAGTGGTTTCACTTTTGGAATTCATCGTGAGAAAGCGAATGTTATCCCTTCCTTCGCCACTCAGTGACTGCAACAAGAATCTTTCGGAGCTGCACATGGTCCCCAAGGTCTCGGCTGTGGCCGAAGAAGCAATGGCCACCAAGGAGTGCTTGGCAAACAATTCTTCTCGAATCTTACGCAAATCTCGTGGCGTCGCTTCGGGAGGTTGGACTGGAGAAAACAATCCGCTTTCAGTTTCGGGGCCATCTTCGATCCCCGATTCCAGTGGATCCTCGCTTGCTTCCACGCCTGGATCGGAATTGTTGTCATCATTCGTCAACGCAGGTCTTGAATGCTTGCAGCCCATCTTTAGCTCTTTCGTTTATCGAGCCGTGATGATAATAAGAGTTCGCTGCATCGATGCTATCAAGTGCCATCCAGTTCTACTGTAGCTGGGTGACCTTCGCCTCCTCTCGTTGTCTTTCCTTCGAAATCTAGAAGAAAATGTGGCCAGAGTGATCTCCAAGAGGAAGCCGCACCACGGCCGGGGGAGTCATCAACGGTCACTGAAACTCTGATCAGCTGTGCTGGCTGGTACAGCGTATCACCGCCTTCCGCCACAGCCGGATCCGAACTTACTACATGTACTAGCTAGCTAGTAGTCTAGCTAGTAGAATGGCGCTTGCATTAAACCATCGGGGACCGGGGAAGCAGAGCCTCGTTGGGGCTTCTAGCTAGTCTAGTCTAATACTTTTTGCTATGCTGTCGGGAAGTACCTTGGAACATGTGACGGTTTTCTGACTACCGGTAGCTAGAGTCGGCAGTGACGAAAACCTAGTTACTCGGATAACATACTACCAGAGATTAACCTCATTGGGTAACTATATCGGCCACCTAATGTAAACAGCTCTGTCGGCTTATCGAGGTGCTCTGTCGGCTCAACCATCATGGTCACCATGGTCGGCAACACCCTTGGAAGTGTTGGCAATGTTCGAGAGTTGACTGGATTGGCTTCTTCCTTTAGTTCTAAGCTCCTGAAGATGGTCTTAGCCAGCTTTGTTGTTGTTTTCTTTGTTTGAATGTCACCCCCTTTCACCAATACAGACAGATACACGGAATACTTTTCACTTTGTTTTTAGGAAGCCTGGATCGTTGTCAAACTGGTATCTTTGGCCTGGAGGAGCAGGCTGCTCTTTCTACTGGCATTAGGATCGCTCTTGCAGCAGCTCTTTTTGTGTTCCTTCCAATGACTCTTTTGGCACTTCCGATTGCAGTAGAATACAACTCGACACTTGGCACAACTCTTGAATGCTCCCATCGCCTTTTCCACAGAACTGCAACCGGCACAAGTACGAACCTCAGGAACTTGCAGCAAAATTGGAGTGTTTTCATCCACAGATGGAGGAGGAGGAACGATGTCTTTGGGTGACTTGGGAGCTTCAGTCTCAATCTCTTCTCCGAACAAACCACTCTCGAGCATTTCCGAAACTGTTTCATCCAAAATGGATTCTCTCGCAGTCTCTACTGGATCCGGTTCTTCTTCCTTGGGCTTGTTGTCGTCATCCAGAGCCACGATTTCAAACGTTGGCTGATCTTCCTCTTGCGATTCCTCACTTCGCAGCCGTCGAAGAACAGCTTCCAGCTCTTTGACGGCATCTTCACGAGAAGTAGACTTCAAAACAGAGGTCTCAACAAAACTGCTTTCATCCGCAGCGAAATCGTGCACTTGAATGCTTGTCTTACCAGCGTCCAAAACCCCACTCTTGCCGCAGACTTTCTTATGAACCTTCCAATGTTGTACTTGGCAATCTCTGCTGCAATAGCTGACAGTCTTGCATTTGGCACAGAATTTGAAGGCTCCAGATGAAATCTCCTCTACAAAGCATCCAACACAATACTTTGGCTGTTGCTTAGAGCTGCTCTTTGCCGGGTCAAGCTCAATCTTCTTCTCCGAGACGGATGAGTCGACAGTGATATCTGAAAAAGTGATCTTTGGATTCATGCTGACTTTCGTGTCCGCATCCTCCGTGTTGTGTTCACCAGAAAAAGAATTCGCATTGGATACGGAATCTTCCTTTTCCAATGCCACCACTTCAATAGTGCTTTCAATGTGCTCCAAAGGAATACGCTCTTCCAAGGTGCTAACAGGAGGCTCAGCTTCCTCAGCTACAGTTTCGGCATTCTCATCCTTGTCAAGCACTGCCACGGTTTCAATTTCAGTGGTCTGTTCTTTAATCAGCACCGGTTCTCCGGGTGTATCCATCGTTGGTCGTTCATGTGGCTGCTTTGGTTCTTCCGTGGCTTCCTTGTCCTCATTTTTGACCATAACCTCATCATCAGCAGCATCACTACTTAAATTGTCAGATTGTTGCAAAGGACTGTTCTTCAGTGTGGAGGCAAGATTTTTGGTTGGTGGCTCATCTACTGCTGTTGGGGTGTCAACCCTATTGGCAATATTATTTGTTGCAGACGTTGTAATTTCAATGCTTTCAGAAAGAGCCACTGTGGTTTCGCTCGTCATGATGGTTGTAACGTTGTTGGTTGTGTGTGTATCCCTCTTCGGAGTGTCCACGTTGGCACTATTGTCAGCTACATGGTTCTTCGTGAGGGATTCCTCTACGCTGTTGGTGTTGTTTTCTGTAGTGACGGAATCTTTGGAGACTCCAGAAGAGAGGGCTCCATCGTGGTCATCAGAAGAGACGGTATGGCTGGTTGTGAGATCGGATGGTTGCACCGGAGTTGGAGAAGACGAAGATGCAATGGTGATCTCCGTTGGCTTGACTGACGAAACACCTTTTGCTGGATTTCCATTGGCGTTTCCAGCAACGGCGTCCTTGGCTGTTTTAGACTGCGTACATCCCATTGTTTCTTCTGTTTGTGTGAAGGCAACGAACTAAGAACCGAAGGCAAAGGCTTTGCCGATTTTTAAAAAGTGCGGGTGCTCTGGTGAAAAAAATGAAGGAAATTCCCCAGACGCCTGAAAGGTCGGCCTCCAAGCTCGAAATTCAAAAACGAGCCCCGCAAGACTTGCTTCCTCGCCACGATGCATCACCGTGGTCACCCCAACTAAAACTCAATATCCCTCTCCATGTGGTACATATTATGCATAGTCGCTGGTACCGGTAACAGTAGTAGTACTGTACCGGTAACCCGTATGTGTTAGACCGAGCCTGAAAATCATCCAATGAGTATGACAAGACACACCCAAACTTGAATCATACCACATGGTCACATGACTTGACCAGAGATCTGGCAAGTATCAGCCTTTCCCCGTACAAGTACTGTACCGGGGTACCAGGACTTCAAGTCTCAAGTTTGCTTGTCTTCACTGATAAAATGAGTGAGCATAGAGCTACCATAATATTCTCGTGGGGGCCACAAATCCCGTATCTGGCATGGCGAACGCGGAGTGCTTCCGAAGTTGCCCACGGTTAAGGAAGAATCCGCCAAATCTCGGAAGCTGCGAGGAGATGCCTCGCTACATCACATACTTTAAGATGGCAGAGAAAGAGTTGTTGGAAAAGTCCACCGAATCGTTCAACGTCGGAAGCCTCTTCCTACTGATTGCCTCGCAGTAGTCAGCCCGAAGTGCGTTGGAGGTGGAAACCCGGCCAAAAAGTGGACGATATTCGACTATTACATCTGTCCCTTCGTCTTTCATGATGTCGTTGTGCACCCCTCAAAGGCCGCTCATACTAGCTGGTGGCTTGGGATGCTTCGCAATCTGAACCAACACCAAGACGATATCCGGGCTACTGTATCATCACGACAAGCGAGGAAGATATCGATTGAGTGCGAGCTCGCAAGCAAAGAGCTCTTACAGGCATGAACAAATCAAACTAAATAATTAACATTGTTGAGTTCACAAGGAACTCTCCTCCTTGGATTCCACTGCTTTTGGGTTGTTTTCTTTGCCCGATGGATGAAGAAATGATTCAAAGAAACTTTGACGTCCGGTTGCCTCCTCGACAGGGGTAGCATTGCTGTTTTTATTCTTATTGTCGCTCCCCTCCTCGACTTCCTTGCCCTTGTCCCCTTCGCTCTTGTGGTTACCAAAAGATCCCCAGAATCCAGGCTTTTCACTTCTGACATTGTTGTCATTGGCTACTGTTTCCTTCTGTTTGTCGTCATCCGATGGTACGTTGGTTGCTGCTGCTTCTCCCTTGTCTGGAATATCAAAGCCAAATATGTTTCTTTTTGATGCCTTCTGGCTTGTGTCTGTCTCCTTGGATGATTCCTCCTCTTTGGTATCCTCTTTGGTTGTGTCATCGTGGGGCGTTGTTGTCTTGTTGGCTTCTGCTTTGTTGGTTTGTCCAATTCCAAAACCAAAAAAACTGCGTCTAGATGGCTGTTGAGTCTCATTCTGATCAGTATCTCCATCATCGGATTTATCACCACTATCGGATTCTTCAGTGGTGGTTTCAGAGGACGCGGACTCCTCCGTCTTCTCATCCACGCACGTCTTGTCATTGTCCAATGTCTTGGTTTCAGGTGACACAGGTGCCCCAAATCCAAAAAAGCTGCGTCTGGCTGAAGGTGGTTTCTTGCCATCGGCAGCCACCGTTGCTTCATCCTTGCTCTCGTCCTCTGCTTTACTGTCCTCTACCTTACTGTCCTCTGTCTTACTGTCCTCTTGATTTGACTCGTCCTCTTGGTTGGTATCCGTTGGTTTCGGCGGTGCTCCGAACCCAAATCCAAGAAAGCTCTTTCGTGGAGGCGAGCTTGAGGGGGTTGTCTCTTCTTCCTTTTTCTCCTCGTCCGCAGGTTTTTCTTCCCGTTTTGTCGTTTCCAGTGCTGGCTTACTACTACCAAAGCCCAGCGAACCCCACATGGAAGGATTGTCTGGTTTGTTGCTGCTTGGTGGCTCTCCTGTCCCCTCCACAGCTTCCACGGGTGGTACTTCTTCTTCCTTTCCTTTCTCCTTTTCGTCTACTTGCACTTCTTTTTGCTTGGGTTGCATGAAAGACGCCCAAAATGGTTTCTTTTCCTTCTCGTGCAGGTTGTTGTTGTTCTCCTCCTCCATGGCTTCGCCGTCCTCAGGTTTGTCGACCTTCTCAAACGAGTCCTTCTCCTTGATTTCTTCGGGGCCTTCTTCCTTCGATTCCCCGCCTTCTTCTTTTTGCTGGCTGCTAGTATTGTTACTATTAAAGGTATTCCACATTTTGGCCAATGGATTCCGTTCCTCCTTTTTGTTGCTTTCTACTTCCTGTTTGGGTTGTGAAATAGTATTGTCAATCTCTTCAGGAGCAGCAGCAGCAGCATCTTGTTGATCTTGTTCAGACAGCAACAGACCTCGATCATTGGTCATGTACGCTGCCTCTTCGCTTTGGGCTGGTAGATCCTCTACGGGTGCATTCTCATCTGCGCTCTTTGTCGCCGCTTCTTCTTCTGCCCGCTTCTTTTGCTTGTCTTGGGTCAAGAGAGAGTTTCGACGTAGATACAACAACGTCAAGGCTGTTGTAGTGGCTGCCGCAAGGGCCATGCTCCATAGTGGAAGGAGGGAGCGGGGTCGCAAGCTCATGGTCCCTTATTTGACTTTTGAGATAGATGAGTACTACGGACAAACAACAGAACTAACTTTGACCATGGACAAGGGGGGTTCTCTCGCGGTTGCCGCCGCGGCGCTCCTTCTTGTGCGCACGTCACCCATTCTTGAAAAGAGAAAGAACTCTTTGAAAATTCTTCAAAGCCAGTCAAGCTGTACCATACCAGGTTTTTCGGGTAAACGGTCACCTCAAGCTTGAGCGGCTCAAGTTTCGTCCACTTTTCGACAAGCCCTCGTCTTTTGATCGATCATTCTTTTCGTTGCGTTGCTCTTTTAGAAAACTACTAAACTATCATGCCAGGACGTACTACTCGAAGCAAAAAGAGCCCTTCTGCCGCTGGAAAAGGTGAGAATTGACGTGAAAAGCGGTCATGGATCAATGGGAGCTTGTCCACGTCGGGTTGCCAATGCCATGGTGGAAAAGTCGAGTCGAGTCGTTGACGAATTCGACTTGTCACTCGACTCGTCCCTCTCTCACCCGATTTTCGTGTGCTGGCAAGCAGGAAAGCGAGCGGCCAAGGCGGCTGCTACAGATGATGCAACTCCAGTCAAAGTCAAAGGTTCGTCCACGATCATCTTTCCTCGAAAAAGCTCAAGTTGTTCCGTTGTCTCAACTCGCTTCTCTATGTCTCGTCCTCTTTTTCTGTTTCTCTCGATAGCCAATGACCCGGAAGCCGTGAAGAAACTCACCGACAAGCTCTACATGGTGCAAGAAAAATTGCGCAAGAAAAAGAATCGAGTGCACAAAATTTCGGCGGAGCAAATGGACATCGAAATCGTAAAAGAAGAACATGGTTGGCTCGAGGAAGTCGAATGCTACGAGGAGGAGAAGAAACAGCTTAGTCAGGACGATGCCAAGATTGCGCGTCTCGAGCGTAAGCACAAGCGAGCCGCAAAGACTCACGATGAGCGCCTCGAAAAGCTCAAGGCCGACCTCGATACGCGCGAACAGGTGACCCACGAGGAGGCCAAGAAACTCAATGAAGAGATTGAGAATCTCCGTCTATTTGAAAAGGAAGTCGCGGCCGAGTTGAAAGCTGCAAAGAAGGCGCACGCCGCCAAGTAAGCGTTGCCACGTCCACATGGAGTCGGGCAGCTACCGTATCGGGTGATCTCTCGGAGGACGTTGAAGGATGAAGCAACCTAGCGCATTGAGATTGACTGCATTGTCAAGCGAGTCGAGTCAACACACCACACCCCATTACATGTAGCAGTGTCCATGCCTGCAAATGACAAGGTCTTCGTGCGGTCCAGTCCTGCCGCTTCCTTACTTGCAGAGGCCCAGTTATCAAAGTACAGGACAGTTAGTTCTCTACAATCCAAACTCGTGAAATCCCTCTCAGTAGTTTCGTACCGTAGGAGACTGTTCTGGTACTACCGTAGTCGCCTCTCCAGTCGTCCCCAGCATCGAAGCTACCGTAAGACTCTGCGATGTGTTTCTCAAGCACTGCTCGTGGGTGTGGCTTCAAGTCAAACCGAGAAACAGTACCGGTACCGTACGGTACGGTACCATGTATGCAGGTATTGACATTCAAAGCTATCCCTCTTGTGAAGGAGCGTGCATGCACCAAGTGTCCTCTAGTTAGTACATGTACTCCTCAAAGGCAATCCTGAAGAGGGCAATTCAGATCAATGAGAGAGGCGCCAGAGGGTACCGGTACCGTAAGGCATGCGGTACCGTACCAGGTACCGTACGGTACCATGTATGCAGGTATTGACATTCAAAGCTATCCCTCTCGTTAAGGAGCGCGCATGCACCAAGTGTCCTCTAGTTAGTACATGTACTCCTCAAAGGCAATCCTGAAGAGGGCAATTCAGATCAATGAGAGAGGCGCCAGAGGGTACCGGTACCGTAAGGCATGCGGCACCGTACCAGGAGGCAAAGAATCGAATCTGGAATGGGAGTTGCTGCAGCCATTGGAGCTTTCCGAAGTCTACCGTACCGTATTGTTCTCCTGACACGCATCTACTTGGTGCAGTAGCTATCGGTACCTGGCAGGGCTCACCAAACGCTTTCAATGCAAATCTTGAATCATCTATTACACAAAAGTTCCATACAAAATAAGTTGCCTCTCCTCTTCTACAAGTGCCTCATCCAAGCTCCAAGCAAATCTTCAAACCGTTACCGTAGCCACAAGCGCACCTCTGATTAGAATTCTACCTCCTCGTGTTGCCGCATCAACTCGTCACACATGATTAGATCTTCCAATGATATTATGATGCCATCCAAGTTGCTAAGTGGGTGTCTCTTGTGCATGAATGTTACACCTGGGTCCCGTTGGTCGTTCCGGTAGCCACTGCTCGGATTGACATCATTCAGAGGACCATTTGATATGATGCCATCTTTGGGAATCGTAGGAAGATCGATGAGGCATGGAGTCATGGGTGTTGCCAAGGTTGCTCCTAATCCGTACCAATCGCTGTTGCTGGGAAAGCTAGCAGAATCCGCCAAGCCCTGCAATTGGCTTGTGGTATTGGCCCTGCAGGTTGCGGAATTGGAAGTGATGGCACTGCAGGGTAAGTTTGTGTAATTGTCGCTTTGGTCTAGAAAGGCCAGCATTGCATTCTCTTCTCTATTCAATGATAAAGCACGCAGCAGAGTGCTGGGTTGTTGCTGTTGGCGGGAGAAGGATGCTGCGGAAGATGTGTTGGTGTCGGTCGAGCTGCAATCATCTGCTGTCTTGGGTTTCTCCGCTTCTGTTTGGACATGGCTCTCCTTGTCATTATTTCGCCGAGCTTCCTCATCTTGCCAGCTGCGGAGGTAATAGAGGACAACAATAGAGGCAGCTGATGTCGTCGTAACGGCAATCACAGCAATGAGCCTCGAATTAACGCTCATGGTCGCTTCCGCTGTATTCTGGTAGGCTTTTGAACTTTTTTATCTGATTCGTTTCTCAAAGAAATGTGACCATCATCACCGTCTCCGTCTCCAGAGGTTGTCACGGACCAGTGTCCAACAATCAGCGTTACGTACGGTATAGTCTAGTTGGGTCCAATGATTCAATCGTCTTCCGGAAGGGAGCGGAAAGTGATTCCCGCGATTCGATTCCGGGAGATTGAAGATTCCTCAAATAAATTCTTATCCTGCCACCTGTTAGGCTGTTGTCCCTTCCCAATTCTCATGTTCTCAAAGTCCCATCATGGCCAGAGCAAAAAATGTGCTCAGCCAATTCTTCAGTACGTACGAGCTTGAAAAAAGATCTTTCCTTCCTTTCCATTATTTGTAAACTTGAAAAGACCCCAACAGAACGATGCGAGCAAGGTTGATAGAAACGGTGACTGCGACTGTAGGCTACTCCCTGATCACAGCGACTCACAAACATCAAAGGCAAAGGAACGCCTTGGGGAGATTGAAGTCTCAGAGTTGCGCCCATTGTTTCTTGTTGCCCAAAACGAAGTGGATTGCTAGGCAGCAGCTCCAGAGTTGCGCCGTATGTTTGCAAGATTGATCATACCTAAGATCCTGAAAACATATTCTCAACTAGTATATTGCACGGTAACAACGAAGCAGCAAAACACGAATGGATGGATCCTGCAATGGCAGTTGCTGTGTTGTTTTCTATCTAGTCTAGCCAATCGCTTCCTTCGCGGTACTGGCATGTACCGTAGCTATGAGATCCTTCCTGATTGTGTGTATCGGACCGTTTTACAAAAATGCAGTCTTGCATTCACAGACTGGGCAACCCACCAAGAGATCCAGCCATTGGGCACTACGTTTTGCCCTGGGTGGACAAACAAACAAGCCCCAAGATTCTTCCTCGTCTCTTGCCTGTGTTCTAAAAGAACCTAGATCGGGAAGCTTTGACCGGTTCGGGATTTGCAGCAGCAGCTGCTGCAACGCTGTCGTGGCTTTCGATCCCCGTTGCCACCACTGACACTCGAATCGAACCTTCCAAACGTTCGTCAAAGGCACTCCCAAAAATGATATTGGCACTGGCATCTTTGACTTGCTCCGTGACGCACTGTGCTGCTCTGTCGACTTCAAAGAGTGTCATGTCGGGTCCTCCCGTGATATTGACGAGCATTCCTTTTGCCGTGGCAATATCCCATTCCGATCCCAAGAGTGGATTGTCGAGTGCCAATTTAGCAGCCTCCACGGCTCGATCGCATTCTTCGTCATCATCATCGCCATTTGTAACTTTGGACGACGATACTCCCGTCCCGAGCAAGGCATTGCCCATTCCCACCATGACGGCCTGAACATCGGCAAAATCTAGATTGATCAACCCCGGAGCTGTCATGAGATCGGTTATGCTCTTGACACCACCCAGCAAGACATCATCGGCCATTCGAAAGGCATCGACAAAGGTAGTTTTTGGTCCAGCGAGACGAAACAAGTTTTGATTGGGAATGGTAATGAGGGTATCTACCACGGTTTCGAGACGGTCCAACCCTTCCAATGCCAACCGTCTACGGTGCGTTCCCTCAAACGTAAAGGGCATGGTAACGACGCCGACTGTCAAGATTCCGAGTTCTTGGCAAATCTCCGCGACGACCGGGGAAGCACCCGTGCCCGTGCCGCCCTAAAAAATCCATGAAATGAGTTGAAAATAATAAGGAGGCATGACGTTTCAAGTAGTAAGTAGATTTCTTGTTCGAAGTCACTACTTACTCCCATTCCACTGGTGATAAAGACCATGTGAGTTCCGTCCAAGCGTTCTCGAATTTGATCACGGGATTCTTCGGCGGCCCTGGGAGAGAAGAAACTGAATGGTCAGAACTTATCAATCAACAATAACTCAATTTCCAGCTATTACTGCTAGTAGTAGTACTCACATTCTCCCGGCATCCGGATTGGCCCCTGCTCCCAGACCCCTGGTCAATTCAACACCCATTTGCAAGCGCTGATCGGTCAATGCCGTGGACAAGTGTTGGGCATCTGTGTTGAGCGCTAAAAAGTCGACGCCGTGCAATTCCTTGGCAATCATGTTATTAATGGCATTGTTGCCGGCACCTCCTACACCCACCACCACAATTTTGGGTGCAAATTCGTGCAAGGCGGGGGAATTGAAAAAAGAGGGCAGTGGTGGAGATTGTGGTTGTGACTGTTGTTGTTGTTGTGGAGACAAGATCTCGGGTTGTTTGGATAGTTTGGGAGTGTTTGGTTGTTCTATTGATTCTTGTTCTTTTGGCACACTGGTCTCTTCCTTTTTGGGTTCGAGTACAAAAGCAGGAGGAGAGGACAATTTGGTGGCTTCCTTGGTGGACTTGTTGACAACATCGGCACCATTCACATTGGTAGGATTGGCGCTGTTGAGCATGGCCTTGAGAGCCTTTTGTTTCAAGGATGGAGACGATGGCGAGGACGAAGACGACTTGCTCCTCATGCTGGCAGCGAGGGGGCGTAGACGCCACATTACGGCGGTAGAAGACGACAAGCGGAACATCGTGGGTTGCACCGGGAATTGAGAAGTGAGGGGAAAAGATGGGGAGGATCTTTTTTCAAAAATCATTTTCTCTCAAACGGAACTTTCAAACACGTAGCCTTAATTTTAAAAAATAAGGTTTGTACTGACGTCAGTACGGTACAAAAAGAAAAATGAGGTCAAAAAGTTGAAGCTCTTGGAAGTTGGAAGATGCCAAACAGCAGGCTATTGCAAGGCTTCTTCGTCTCTGCTTCTGCCTCAGCAAGACATCTAGCTAGCTAGTACTGGTACCGGTAGTTGAGTATTAGTTGATAATGAGTATAGTGTGTAAGCAAGAATCATGCAAATACATACCACCATGATCCACAAGAGATGCATTTCATTGCTCCTGTTGCTGCTGCTGCAGCACCTTGCCACCACCACTTCCTTTGTCCCCAGACACCGCGTCTTCGTACCCAATCCATCGCAGACAAGACAGCAGCAAGACTCTATTGTTCTGTTGAGGACCAAAGAGTTGAATGATGACGACGAAGACGACGACGACGACAATACCAATGGCTCCTCTTCCAAAAAGACTCGTCGCGAACGCTTGGCGTCGTTTCTGCAACAACCAGACGACATGAGACCAACAGTATCGGAATGGGCCGTCACGGCCAGACGACCCGATATTGAAGCCGGCCAACGGTATCGATCCCGCGATTGGCTCATCAACATCCTGTCACTCCCCAATTCCTTTGTCCTGAAACGAATCAAATTCCATTTGGTCTCCAACACGTTGCTTAGTTTGTTGGTGGTGCTAGTGGATCGTTACTGGGTGCGATTGGGAATTCCCGTCTTGGCGCATACATTGGTGGGAAGCTTTCTGGGTCTCCTCTTGGTCTTTCGCACCGACTCTGCCTACACGAGGTTTTGGCAGGCCCGTCATTACTGGACTAAAACCAAGGAAACCTGTCGGAATCTCGCCATTACGGCATCGACACAACTCAAATACCATTCCCCCAAAAGTGCCACACGCTTGTTGGAATTACTCATTGCCTTTCCCGAAGCACTGTGCTATACGTGTTTGTGTGGCGCCATGCCCTTGACCAATCGACTCAAGCGCATCCTGCCGGCACGCTTGCAAAATGATCCTGCCATTTGTCTGTGCCTCATGATGCAACAAGAATTGTTGGCAGCGGCGCAGGAATCGCCCAGTTCTGGATTGAATATCGTAGAGGCGCGATATCACATGGAAGCATCCAGTTTTATTCAAACCTTGATGGACACGACAACGCACTGTGAAATGATTGTGAGGACTCGTAAGTACTGTATCCCGTAGACACCACAAAACAAAAAGTGGGATTTTCAAGGTGGCAGACAGGAGTTCCATTCATTTCCAGAGATGGATTCTTCGGGTTGGAAAGCTAAAATCAAGTGGTCTAACAAACCTTGCTTGTTTCGTTCTTTCAACGCCACAGCGGTTCCCTGGAGTTACTCTCGGCACACGTCTCGGTTTCTGACAGTCTGGTGTGGAACACTACCCTTCGCGCTCGTTCAGTCATTTGGGTGGTTGACATTGCCCGCCGTAATGGTAGTTAGTTGGTGTCTTTTCGTAAGTTATTCATTTGCTTTGCTTTGCTGGAGGTTGATTTATTTGTTCGCAAACTCATGACGCGCTGCAAAACAGGGCATTGAGGAGATTGGTCACTTGATTGAACAACCCTTTGTCAGCGATGATGTAGTAGTGTCCCAACGCTTTTTGAGTAAATCGGACCGTATGGAGCTTAAAGCCAAAGCCTACGATTTGGGAATCCCTGTAGAGCAATTGGCTTGGTTGATTTCGGGGCAGGTTGTGGAGATTGCGTACGCGGCTTCGCAGTTGCCTGAAATCCCCCTAGCCGATGTCACAGTGGACGATGAACAACTTGCTTCTTGAGTCTGGCGAGAGTTGGTTCATCGAGAAGGTTGCCAATAGTCGAAAGCAATTCGCTTGCCTCGCTGGAGTCATCGATCTTGGTTGTAGTTCACGACTGTTCTGAGCTTCCATCCACCACCCAACCATCCCTGGACAAGAACTGAGCTGGAGGTATCGGAGGTGGAACGGTGGCGGCAGGACACTTCCCTCTGGAATACTTCAAGCACTGTCTGGTTGATTGAGACACTGAAGAATACAAGGCTCGAAACAATCAATAGCCATGTGTGCTTCACAACTGCTTTCTGGAAAAGGCAAGCTCTGAACGGCAATCCACTCCAAAGTCAAATGGAAAAGGTTACTCAACGACCAGAACCCTGGCTCTTTTGCTTGATACGCTTGCTGTATTTCGTACTACGTGTACGAGTATGGCTTCCGCCTGGCTCGACTCGGATGTTTGCTCTTGCCGCTCCAAGCGGACACCACGAGAGGGGTTCGCGCAGAGATAAGCTTGCTGTATTTCGTACTCCATGTACTAGTATGGCTTCCGCCTGGCTCGACTCGGATGTTTGCTCTTGCTGCTCCAAGCGGACACCACGAGAGGGGTTCGCGCAGAGATAAGCTTGCTGTATTTCGTACTACATGTACTATTATGGCTTCCGCCTGGCTCGACTCGGATGTTTGCTCTTGCCTGCTCCAAGCGGACACCAGGGTTCGCGCAGACATACTCGAGCAAGTATGAGCGCAAATCTTTGGAACCTTCAAATGTTTCCAAACTCAGCTTCACCACATCTATGTAGTTCTGTGATTGTCCTTCTTGTTTCCCATCGTTTTCGAACATAGAGTCCCGATTCTCCTCTTTGGATGACGCATCATCGTGATTGTGGGGGGGGGATGATAGAATTTGGTATCAGCAAAGGCCATTGTGCTCCGCTAAGAGACTTCCTTTGCGACAGCGTACTAGCTAGTAGCCCCAGCACCACAACTAATGGGCTATCGCAAACTCAAAGATGAGGATTCTTGTCTTTTCTTCATCAAAGTCTTCCTCTGAGCTAGTTCGCACCGGTCGACAACGGGCTCGGCAGTACTGATGTCGGCATAGAGCAAGGTCTGGACGACCCCACGCATGGACGCTCCAAGGATGCTGGTACCCTTTCTCGTGTGCGCTCTGCAGATCCAGTTGATGATGTACATGAATGGATAGTAAACCCAACAAAGGACAAAGTTGCTCCTTAGGTTGTCCACTAATCCATACATTTGCAGGACCAAGAGGTGCGGCAGAATAGCAATGCTCTCTAGCTGGGTAAACGGAGAATGTCCATGGCAATTCCAGGAAATCAAGCCTCTTGGGCCACTTCCAATCAGCTGCAAGGCAATACTGCATGCTTCCAATCGGGAAGGTATCTTGATCAGCATTGTAGAGACTCGACTCTTGATGGGTTCCCAGTACTTGACGATGACAAATGTTTGCACGACTAGACTGTGCAACCTTCAGAAAGCTGCTATTGGGAATAGAAGGTTGTAAAAAGTCAGAAGAAAAGGAAGACAGGCAAGACAAGTTCTCTAGCACAAGAGGCCCACTAGTTGCTAGCTCAACATTGCATTGCACGGAGGCAGGCTCGGCGTTCCTCGCCTTCAATAGCGGTATGATCAAGAGCACAATGGCAAGCTGGTGCGACACAATGCTGCAGAGATCAAGATATTCATTGACATCGTGGATGGCACGATTAACGAGCCTTGCTTGACGCTTCAATCCACGCAAGACTTCAAGACCATGGGTTGAACTATACCGGTACCATACTTAGCGGCACCATATATAATCAGGACAGGTAAAGATAGAGCTCCCTTGGAGGTGCACAGCGCTCGATGCCTTAGCCCTTCCCAGGCTAGGTTTTCCGTTTTGCTGCCCTTTTAGGAGGTAGCTTGGATGCTCCAAACCAAACCATATGAATGTAATTGCTAACAGCACACGAGACTTGGGAGGCTCCTTTATAAGGGTCCTTCGTCTGCTTTCACAAAAGTCAACCAAAAAACACGCAAAGCCTGATATGCACCAGCCAATGATGAATGATAGATTATTGTCATTTTACTATTCTTCCAATTGAATGGACTTTCCAAACCGCCCATACAGAATCTGTTTCAAATCATCCTGCTTTTCCAGAATTTCCGATTCCTCCGTCTCCAAGGATTGAATTCTCTCTTGGTATTTTTCCACGGTATCTTCGCAGTAGGTTGTTGCTTCCTCCTCGCTGGTTTCGAAAAAAGCACCACCCATGAAGAGTAGTACCTTGCCAGCGTCTGCCATCATGATTTCCGTGGATGCATCGTCAATTCGTTCTAATTCTTTCTGCCAACGCAAAGATAAATATGCCAAAGTGAGTGAGTGGCAAGGCGCAGATGAGGGTCATTTTTGCCGCCATTCCTTACCTTGAGAGAATCTATTTCTGCTCTCACTTCGTGAAGCTGGGCATTCAACCGAGCAAACTTATTGATGTTTTCCTGGTCCTCTCGTCGGACTTCAGCTTCATTCTCCTCTTCTGGAGTCAACATGGTTTCTTGTCTCTTCGACTGATTTCGGCTTCTTCGAATGCCAGGCTGTCATTCGTCTCGTTGCCTTGGATCTGGTGGGAGGAATCTGGAAAATGGGGATTCTCAAGAATCATTTTGTTCTTTTTGCTGATTCTTAATTAAGAATCATCAGGCACCCAGAATGCAACCTAATATACTAGCAATATGGGCTTCATAGCTAGCAATGCTATCCCCTGATACTATCTGCTAACCAACAACAATGTTTGCTGATAAGACAAGCCTTGTAATGATGCATTAGTGCATACCAAAACCATTGTAATGGAGTCTTTCTTGATTTTTACAAGTATTCCCAAGATTCACCATATTTGCATTGAGGATTCTTAAGAATCATCATAATTTGGAGAGGATTCTTAAGAATCAGCAAATTCCATTCAATGATTCTTAATAAGAATCAGCAATGAAACATTGCTGATTCTTAAAAGAATCATCTAGCTTTTTCTTAAGAATCTGATTTTGAAAAAACTGATTCTTAAGAATCATTTGCTGATTCTTGAGAATCATCAATTTCTAAGAATCTGGAAAATTCTGATTCTTAAGGATGTCCCACGGGGGATACAGTGCGTTTTAGTTTTAAGATTATATTTGCTCACTTTTTCGAAAGCTCTCCAAATAGATAAACTTTTCATTAGCTCTTATATCCACCCTATGATTTCGTGGGAATTTGGAACTTCCGACCTCCTCATTCCATCCTCGAAGCATGTCTCGCCATTCACCTCCGCTGAAATGTTGGCTTTGCGCCTCACAAAGTTGGCTTGCCTTTGGCTAGCTATTGGCTTTTAGCTAACCATGAATGGAGGGACAGGTACATTCCCATTGATGAACATGTCGGCATTACCAAATTTCTTGCAGAGTGCCGTCACCAGACAACAGCAACAACCACAACCACAAATGCTACCATGGACAACAGTGGTAGAAGCAACAACTCCTCCTTGAGGAAGCTAGACTAGCATGGTCGGTTTGGTGGTCCAGCTTGGAATCGGCAACGTCTCAATACAGGAGCTTCTGCGAAGGTTGATCTTGTGGAGGGAATTGATGCCGTTGCAAGGGTATCCACCACCATTGCCCGTCCCTGTAAAAGAAAAGTCACCACTCAAAATGACAAAAAGTCAGCGACATGTACACAGGACACTGCAGTTGACGATGATGATGTCCCAGATGTTGAAACCATGACAGAACCACCTCCACCTACCCGTGCCATAGTGGAAACAGCACCATTTTCCAAGCTAATCGAAGACAGTTGTGTCTGCAACCGATGTCACAAGACCAATTCACTTCGCTTGAAGTTTGTTTCTGTTGGTGTAGCTACTACACCAGTACTTGAGTGTACGCAATGTGATCCCATGTTCAAGTCAAGGTCTGCCAGGACCAAAAGAACCACGCTTAGAAAGTCTGATGCACAGGGTGATGCCAACATTGACTTTGATATCAATGTCCGATTTGTACTTGCCTTTGTGGGTAGTGGAGATGGTGGAACGGAGGCAGCAAGGCTATTGAGCTTTCTGTCTCTTCCTGGAGCAAATTCAATGGAAAGGAGAACATTCTCTCAAATCGAGCGGCAGGTGGTAGGGTATGTAACCAGAAGCGGGAACTTACCGATGAGATACCGGATCATGAGTGTCTTGTCAACCACGATGATGGTGCCGGTGCAATGGAGGCTGCCTCATTGTTGAAGATGGCAGAGGA